GTGTTTGTGTGTGTGTGTGTGTGCGTGTGTGTGTGTGTCTAGACGAGGGAGCATGTATGCGTTTGAGTGTTATTTAACTGTTTGATTTGTTCTGTTGTGTTGCATTTTCATTAATTTACTGTTTTTAAGGAGGCTGATCAAGAGCTGAAGCGTCTCAAGGCTGAATATACTAGGCTGGAAACACGTAATTTCCATGAAGTACGTCAATGCAAGCAGACAATAGCAGTGCTGCAGCAGGTTGGAATCGGCTTTTCAGAGAATCATTCAGTACTTTTAAGACATTTTTACGGATCTCTCGGTGCTCCTTCGTTCCCTTTCTTCAAATAGTGCAATTTTTCAGACACTAGAACAGGCGCGCTTATCGAATCCGGCAATCAATCCATCCGAAAACGCCGCGTTGCTGAATTTTTCGGCGTCATCGTCCGATCGAGATTATAGCGCACCACTAGGTTCAGCTCGCCCGCCGTTGCTTCACGTGAGACCACTGTGGGACGATGAACCGCCTGATGTAACTTTTTTTGAATTCATTATTTATTTTGATGTTTGCACTTTTTACACATCTAAACAAACTCCACTGTCTTTGCCGAAGAGGAAGCTACATGAACTGGTATTCAAACCGCTGCTGTTGATCCTGGAAAAATGTGAGGCAAATACACTGAAGAATAGGAATTAAGACAATTTGTACTACCGTTCAGGCTACTTCCTGGAAAAGATGAAGGCCTCTGGAAGTAGTGTGAACGAATGCAGCGAGGCTCTAATTTTATTTTCAGATTTTCGCATCCGGTGGCGAGTCATCGCTGGCAAGAAGTAAGGGTCCATCACTTGACGATAGATTACAATCGGATAATACCAGTCTCAGTCTCAAAAAGAGCTCTCGCTCACGGCGCAGCATTAGGGATCGTGAGCAGAACAGTGGTGCAATTGATGGTGCGCAAACGCGCCATAAAAAGGTTCGTTTATAATTTTTTTATAATTTTGAACGCGCTAAGGATGGATGAGGCTAAACTGAGCTCAGTGCGATCTCAACATTCATATTTTCTTGGCGTTTCGATGAGTTTCACTGTGAATTCTTCATTCATTTCCCCTCGTTTGTTTAACCGCACAAAGCTTCTAAGCTTTTCTTTTGGATTGTGAGATAAATTTTGTTCGAGCGACGAAACAATCTCCGGTTACGCAATTTACAAGCCGTGCTTTTTTTTTGCTAGGAGATCGGCCATTGCTTTATTAGTGCTTTATCCGTTGAGGCAATGTCATCTTGTGTAGCAACAAATGGTCATAGGGATGGAAGCGCCTGTGCTCCTTGTATATTTTTGGCCTGCCGGCTGTTTGTCCTGCGTGTGATAAACTGG